AACACCCTGCTTGCTGAAACTGAAGAGGACCTGAAATGCTTGCTGCAGAGGGTCAAGGACTGCAGCCTTCAGTATGGATTGAGGCTCAGTATCAGGAAGACAAAGAGTCTCACTACTGGACCAATTGGCAGCATCAGGATGGATGGTGAAGAGATTGAGATTGTTCACAGCTTTAGTTTGCTTGGCTCCACGGTCAACACACTTGGCACCAGTAGCCAGAAAATAAATAATAAAATAAAAAAAAAACACAAAAAAACACAAACATATTGCGATGGGAAAGTCTGCTGTTAGGGACCTCTCCAGGGTATTGAAGAGCAATGGTGTCACTTTGGAGACTAAAGTGCATCAGATGCAGGCTATGGTCTTTGCAATCACTTGTTATGCATCAGAAAGTTGGACAAAGACTAAGGAGGACAGAAGGAGAATTGAAGCCTTTGAGCTGTGGTGCTGGAGAAGAGTATTGAATGTACCATGGCCTGCCAAGGAAACAAACAGATTCATCCTGGAGAGGGTTAAACCAGGCTGTTCCTTGGAGGCAAGGATTCTGGGCTTTGTCTGACATACTTTAGACATGTTACAAGGAGGGACAGGTCCTTGGAGAGGAACATCATGCTTGGGAGGGTGGGGGGACTGCGTAGGAGGGGAAGGCACTCTATGAGGTGGATTGATCCAGTGACTGGGGTAATCAGGATGAGTGTGTCAGAGACAGTGCTATTGGCACAGGGTAGAGAAGGGTTTAGGGCTGTTGTACATAGGGTCACAAGCAACTCGACGGCACATAACAACAACAACATGTAATTTGCACCATAATATAAATTAGTTGCATCAGAATAATTTTGTTCTAACTATGGAACTCTTGTGACATAATCTGTAGGGTGTTGCACTATTAAACCAAAGGTAGTGCCTTTCTGGTGGTTCAAAGCCACCAGCAGATCCAAGGTAGAAAGATGAACCGAACCATCTCTTTCCATGTAATTTATGGCCTCCAAACCCCCAGGAGTGGATCAGCTCTTAAACAGTTCAGACTCCACGGTAACAAGCGAGTTAATGAGTGCGTGAATAATTTAATTAAAATAAGTTTTATTGAATAAGGGAATCTTGATGAGAAGAAGCAGAGGATAGTAAATTATTGTGGAACATGTGAAAGAAGAGAGAAAGAAACTAAGTGAGAACTCACAGCAGAGAAATCAGAAGCCCCTACAAAGCTGCTTGAGGAATGGATCAGATGTATTTTTGTTTCTTATACAATTTTGCAGAGATTTAGCATATCCCTCTAAAAATGGATCAGGAAATACTCATATGTTCACTCTTGTATTACATGACTCATTGTTTTAAGGACACGGAACTGAGGAAAATACAGCTAGTGTTTATTTATTCATTCGACAAATACATATTTAACTACCATCTGTTAAATAGACTCTTGTGGACTAGCCTGAGAACCCAACTTCTATTTATAACATTACTTATTCTATAGAAAAAGATGCCAGAGAGGCAAAAGAAATGAAATATTGGACTATAAGTTTTGTATAAGTTAAAGGCTGTCCGTATTGCTTCATGGACTAACAATAAGAAATTATAGTTTCTGGGCTTAATGGAAAACCCACTGGTGGCTTGGAGATGGTATCATTAAAGCATGAAAATTATTGCCAACAAAACTGTAAATAATACTATGCTGTTTTTCTGTATTTGTATGCAATACTATTCACATACCAAATATGGACCACAAAGAGAGTGTTCCATATATTTTACATTTCTTTTTTTTTTTTTGCCAGTAATACCTACTTGGCTCTATTACACTAACAAGTATATTTTACCCCTCATGGCCATTACTCAGCACATAAATTTACCAATTTGCTTGTTAGAGTTATCTTATTCTTGAAAAAAAATCCCAAGCATAGTACTAAGTGGGAGCAGGGCCTGTCATTGATCCCATTAACACTCTCCTTAAATCAGCAGAGCCAGCCACTCTCATGAATGAAATATCACCAAAATCTACCCACAAATAGCACTTATCTATTGATGTGTAAGCTACTACCTAAAAAATTCAGCACCACAACCCTAATCACTGTTACTATTTTAGCTCTGTAATTCCTGGTTTCATTCAGATGCCTATGTGCCAGTGAATTAAGCATCATCTGTAGAGATGGTCAGGAAGGGTTACTATCTCTTGACCTTCTGGAATTTTTAAAGCATTTTTAAGGATGCCCAGTCAGTGGCAGAATTGATGAGCTCAGTCTTTGAATGACTTAGTCATTCAAGGATTACTTTTTCTTAGATGCCTGCTTTGGACCACTCCTTTGTACATGTAATGTAAAGCATCATTAAAGACAGTAAGGGAAAATGCCAGTAAGATAAATTATCTTGGTTTTTATAGCTGTGTGATGGAATTATGGGAAAGCCAATGGAATTAAATGAATGAAATTATATTTAAGGAGTTATATATATATTTATATGGATATATATTTAATTTATATATTTTATATACCTTTGTGAAATTATATTTATTCTAGAATTTCAGATTAGGCTTATATATTCTCTAATATCACAGAGAAAATGTGGGTAATGATTAATAAAATCTTAACATGGTTCTTCACATATGTTGTCTTCATGTCCTTCAAACAGTTTTCAATTTTGAATTATGTTTATTTAATTTTTAATTGTTGTTTTTGTTATTGTTATGTGCCATTGAGTCACCTGTGACTCATAGCGACCCTATGAACAGCAGCCCTAAGCCCTGCTCTATCCTGTGCCAATCTCACTGTCTCTGACACACCTACCCCCATTACTCCAGTCACTGAATCAATCCATCTCATAGAGGGTCTTCCTCTCCTGTGCTGTCCCTTCACCGTCCCAAGCATAGTGTCCCTCTCCAAGGACTTGGCCTTCCTTGCAACATTCCCAAAGTATGTGAGACGGAGTTTCAGAATCCTTGCCTCCAAGGAGCAGCCTGGTTTCATCCTCTTGAGGATGAACTGGTTTGTTCTCTCAGCAGTCCATGGTATATTCAATAATCTTCTCTAACACCACAGCTCAAAGTCATCAATTCTCCTTCTATCATCCCTAGTCATTGTCCAGATTTTGGATGCATAACATGTAATTGCAAAGACCATGGCCTAGATCAGTCTCCAGGCTGGCATCGCTGCTCTTTAGTACTCAGGAGAGATCCCTGACAGCAGACTTAACCAATGCAATTCATCCTGTAATTTCCTTGCTGGTAACAAGTGTAGATTGTGGAGCCAAGAAAACTAAAGCTGTTAGCAGTTCCAATCTCTTTTCCATCTATCATGATACTGCCAATCGGCCCAGTGGTTAGAATCTTTGTTTTCTTGATGTTGAGTTTTATATCAAGGGAAGGTAGGAACATATAATCCTTGCCTTTTAGAAAGTTCATGCTTGAAATGGTGCTGCCTTTGAGGGCTCAGACATTTGATAACTGCCCTACCCCTGGAGTAAGTTCAACAGAACCTCCTCCATTAACCGAAGTCACCAATTTAGCATTCTTATTTAAACAGTAAACGTTAGGGGTTAGCACTGGAGTAGAAGTCCATCCACGGAATGACTTGACATTCTGACTGCAATGAGTTAAAGCTTAACAAAGATTGTGAGAATGGTGCAGAATGGTAGAAGGCTTTCTCTCCTGAACATAGGATTACCACGAGTTGTAGTAGTCTCTAGGGCACCTAACAACAAGGTCTGTCTCTTTGAGATGCCAATGTTGTAGGCTGAGCAATAGGCTGCGAAGCCACAGATGGGTAGTTTGCAATAATCAGCAACTCTATAGGATAAAGATGAGGCTGTATACTCCTATAAAGACAGAAAATCCTATGACACGGACCTACACTGTCCTATAGATGAACCAATTGCATATCAACTCAATAACCATTGATTTATTTTCTGGGATTTTTTTGTTTGTTTTGTTTTTGTGTTTTTCAGAGAGAATGTTATCATGTTTTATAAAATAATAAAATAAATTATGGCAAAAATAGGATCGAGTAAAGGATATCTTTGAAAATCTACATCATAGAAAGGCCCTGCACTTGCTATGTATTCAACCCAATTTTGTGTACTTTGCAAGATATAAGAATTGATTACTGCAATAATCAGTAACATTTAATGAGCACTTAATACCTGCCAGAAATCAAGGTAAGTGCTTTAAATGTTCAATCTCATTTATCTCCACAAAAACTATGGCATATTTATTACTATTGTTCTTATTTATGACATTAAAACTGAGACACCAAGAAATAAAGCAAAGTGCCCAAGGTCACAAACAACTTAGAGCATTTGAATTTACATTGTACTATGCCAGAGCATAATGGCTAGGCTTTGCTGGTAACAGAATATTTTTTCCTCAGACAGTAACAATCATCAATCTTTAAAATTAGCTTCCTAGTATATAAAACCTACTAAAATGTGGAATATTGGCAACACACTTCAGAATATTTTGAAAAGGTCTTGAATTAGAATTTGGTGATGAACATCTCTATGTTTAAAGTCAGCTAAGTAGATAATCCTCTACCTCCAACAAACATTCTAGTTAATCAAGCTTTTATGGTCCCAGAAAATTTTAAGGGAAAATAATCATGAAAGAAGAATTTTTACTTTCTTTTCCAGAAGACAGTCTCTTTGTGAATTAGAGTGATAATAGCAAACACACACTTTTAATAGTGGCAATGATCTGTATTTCTAGAGTTTTAAGTCCTTATTTCTAGAGTTTTTAGGGTAATTGGAAAGATAACTGGGCAAAGATTACCTCTAGTCATCTTTGGCTCTCAGTTATCATGTAAATAGATGATATCGATAAACATTAGGGATGGTGATGATGGTATTTTCATTTCACATAATAGTACAGGAAGAAGACGTAGCAATGAGGTCAACATGGTGAGGGACAAGTCCATTGGCCATTGTAGGCATGGCTAAGGCAAATATTCTGGTCTAATTTTTATTGCCCAGAAAATTCCAGGGAACCAAGTTAGAAGAGTGTTTTCTGAAGCACTTACCTGCCACCCACACTGGAGCCACCAATCAAGTTTGACTGTCTCTTTGGCCAGTGCTCTTGTGTTGTGCCAGAGGAGGATTCCTTTATGTGGTTTCTCACTGCTGCTACTGATGGCCCTGCAACAGCACAGCAACCTAGTGAGTTGGCAAGATGCACATTCTTTTGCAAAGGATTCTCAACTAACCTTAAGAATTCTGAAGTTGATTCAAGGTCCATGACTAGGGAGAAGCTTTGGATCCTTAACTGTAGATAAACTAACAGGATGATTTGTGCAGATTATTTTTTACTTCCTCCATAAACAATAAAGATGAAATAGAAAATTAGAGTGAATCTTTCAATTCCAAATGTTATGTTTTGGTGGCTAGTGAATAAGGAGTTGCACTGCCACCCCAAAGCAGGTAGTTCTAATCTACCAACTGCTCTGAGAGAGAATAGACAATCCTCTCCCGTGTGATTTACAGCCTCTGAAAGGCCATTAGCACATCAGCTATGAGTAACTTCTTATTCAATGGCACAAAACAACAACTTGCTTAAATAAAGTAATTGTTAAGTTACTGTTACTTTTCTCATTTACAATATCACTTAAGAGTATAGCACCCCTGGGAGCTTCATACCACTGAAGGGAGAACCAGAAAGAGTACTTTTTTCCCTTTTGTTTTAATTGTGCTGCAATTGCAAAGGCCTGCAGTTTGAGGCCACCAATTGCTCCATGGGAGAAAGATAGGCAGTCTCCTCCATACATTAACTGCCTCTGAAAACCCACTGGAGGGTCAGCTACGGGTCTGTTCTGACTTGATGGAAACAACAATTGATATTTTAATAAAAGGTTAACAGAAAACTTGGATTTACATTCATTCATTGTTGCATATTTTCCTCCTTACTCATTGTTGCACTTACCCTGCCCCCAGTCCACTTTGCTATGCATCTCTTACTCTGGACTATTGTCATGCTTCTCCAACAGGGTAAAATGGAAAGCCTCACACAGGGGGGGGGGGGGCGGGGAAATATATTTGGCAATGACATGTCTGATAAGGGATTTATATCTAGAATTTATAGACTAGTCTAGCACCTCAACAAGATAAACA